ATCAACATTTTTGACCCTTTTGATGCATTTTTTCCGGTTAACACACTTTTCGTGTATCAATTTTGCCGCTCATGCTGAAGCAAAACTTAAGGAAATCGAGAAAAAAGAAAAATACAAAAGTGTTTCTATTGGTCCTCCGTCGTACCAATTGACAGATCTCCAACCAATAGAAACACTTTCGTATCATCGTACCATCGTATAAACGGATGCATGGAACACAGGCATAAGCGCGCATTAGTGGCCATCGCGCGAACGGAACGAATGAAGACAAATATTCATTTGCATTCGCTGCATTCGGGCGATGCCCACAAATGTTTAAAGCACGTTTGGACTTGAAAGTTCGACGAAATTTTTCAATTCGAAACGAAGCCTTTTTTCGGTAGGAGCGATGACCGACAAGAAATTCACTTATCAAGCAAATCAAAATGAATGCAGATTTCTTGATGAAGCTGGCAACATTTGATGCATAGGAAAAAGAAAATGAAACTTATGATATATGCTTCTAAAAGTAAACACCAAAGAATGCAATCTAACAAAAACCAATTCGTTGAAATTATGGCATGACCGTTTAGAACATATTAATTTCAAGGCGATAAAAGACGCAAACAAACACAACGCTGTATGTGATTTGGAACTTTCTGATCAAGACGAAGTTTTCTGTGAAACCTGCCAATATGGAAAACAAACCCGAAAATCACATAAACACGTCACGAAGATTAAAGCAGAAAAACCTGGTGATAAAATACATTCTGATGCATGTGGTCCAATGAGCGGATCACGTTTCTTTGTAATTTTCAAGGATGAGTGTACTGGATACAGAAATGTTTATTTTCTGAAACAGAAGAGTGAAGTGTTTGCGCGCTTTAAAGAATATAAAACGTTGATCGAAAATCAAACTGCCAATAAAATTAAATTTTTTAAGAGTGATAATGGGACTGAATATATCAATGAAAATTTTCAAAAATATCTACAAACAGAGGGAATATTGCATGAGAGATCGGCACCCTACTCACCTCAAC